AAAAAAAAAAAAAAAAAAAAAAAAAAAAAACAGTAAAAAAGCAGTCGCATTAATCAAGATTGAAATTGTAAGTTGCTTGACTCCGAGTTTTAGCCAATGTAGCCCTTGAACAAGAAGTCATACCTATTGGACGGAGGTCAACTGACAAAAAGCTGTTTGCCAAGAAGAAAATACAAGCTATGCTCCATATTTGTCGCATCGTTCTCCTCGATTACCAACAAGTTCCTACAACTCTGGAAAAAAATTATTTGAAACAACAGATAAAGTCACCGAAGTTCAACAGGTTTTTATTGTACAATAGTCTGTTTGCAGACAGATGACTTGGGGTCTGAAGATCATTGTGTTACCTTCCGGGATAATCTTGTTTTGTCGCTTAAGGTAATGGTCCGACGAGGTCTGGTCAACGTACTGACTACACTGACGAATTTGGAGATCAATTTTGTTTGCTTCTTGCGTAACCGCAGCTGCTCCATTTTGAACTAAAAAAGGCCAATGAAGAACAGGAACTGTTTCGTTACAACTAGGGAAGCCCAGTGAGGAAAAACAGGTGCAATGGTTACCGTAATGGCAGTAATAGACACTTGGAAAATTATAGGGAGGGTAAAGAAGCCAAGTAGTAATTCAAAATTAAATTCTTCAAATATTATCAACTTTTTCTAATTTCTACGTTAACTGACGAGATTCTGCTACAAAATATCGGAGGAAACGGTTATGTAATTCATGCCGTTACGCTATAATTTAGAAATTCAGAACTTTGACCATCTCAAAATAATATGAAAGAAACCACTTTTTTCTGCATTGTTTATTATGAGTGGACTGATGCAAGAAATCGGGCTAATGTTATAGATCAAACGATAAAATAGTATCGCGATACTATGGTTTTTTAACTGTTTAATTGTGAATTTCTGCATAGTGTTGTGATTTCCAAATTTGTTACATAGTTACAGGTTCTGATTAAGATGAAACGATTAGAGATGTAAAAAAGTTCCTTTCTTTCTTGAGTCACATTAAATGACTACAAACCGTAAGAAGCGATAAGGTACTGCATTTAAGCACTTATTTTGAACAATCAGTTTTGAAAATTATTGCTAGCAAGTCACAGATTACGTAGTTGGTAGGTCATTGGTAGGTCATTACTTGGTAGGTCATTCCGCCAAAGACAGCAACAACAACAACAAAAGAAGTAAACGAGAAAACAGTTTTGTATACACGTGTTTTATCTAGACAACTTGTTGCTTTTTCAAAAAATTCTAGTTTTAAAAGGCAGTA